AAAGTTTAGAATATGACTCAACCAAGACTACACCACGAATGTCTGATTCTAGTTGCTGAGGAAGCTGAGGCAAGGGTCCTTACAGGTTTAAGTCCTGCTTGAACTACAGAGGCAGGTTCAAAGCCAGCCTTGGCAACTTAAGTGAAGTAAACAGAAAGGAGCTAAAGATGCAGCACAGTGAATGCTGTGGCACTTGCCTGGCATGGGAGGTCTCACATTCAATCCCAGTGCTGCAAACATAAATTAAGGCTCTGAAGGGAATGACTAGTTCGTGTAAAAAAATGTAGCTAGCAAACATGGGAAAATATTCAACCTTGTGACTTCTAAAGAAATAAGGGGTTAAAGTGAGGTGTTTAGAAAATCTCGTCAGGTGGAAAAATAGTTGTAAGGAACTGTTCATAGCCAGTATTAGGGATATTAGGGAGAGAGGTGGGCTAAGCTCCCACAGTACAGATGGGTGTATTGTGATCTTTTTGGAGAGAAATTTAGAAACACATCTCAAGAGATAAAAATACATGATGGCTCATCGATTTATTTGCTTTTTAACTTTTAACTCTACCTTAAAGAGATAGTTGTATTTAAATTATGTGCTCAGGGCTCTTCATATTTTGATAATACGAAACAACAGAAAACAGCCTCCGTCTTATCTGTATATTAGTCATCAGATGTGTAATAAATGGATGAATAAATAAATAAAAAGGATGTGTACCTCAGTAGTAGAGCCTGTGCCCAGCTGCCCAGAGTGCTGCTTTCAATTCCCAGCACCACTGAAAAGATGCCCTGACGGTTGTCAAATATGATACTACCTTGCGCGAACTCGCCTACTTTTGAAGCAGATAATACACATGTTGTACTGTGTGGATTGCAAGTGGCTCTGCTTGTACAGTGTTGGGGTTGGAGATGGTTTTTAAACAGTTCTCTTCCTTCCTTTGTATGTTTTCAGTGTAAACATGCATTTAAAATGGTTTTTATATTTCTTATATAACTCTTGATATAGATATACTCCACAGAAATTTTTGCATGTAAGTGGTCAATGTGTGATTTTTTTTGTTTTTGTTTTTTATTAGTGTAGATATGGTATGTTCACTACTTTCCTTCCAAACTTGATGCATGGTGTATATATTGAGATTAAACATTATAAAACGGGTTCTGGAATGATGACTCAGTGGTTAAGAGCGCTGGCTGATCTAAGAATCTGGATTTGGTTCCCAGTGCCACATGGTGGCTCACAACTACCTGGAAGGTTCTAGGGACCCAGGACCACCTTCTGTCTTCTGTAAGCACTAGGCATAGACTTGGTACACAGACATACATTCAGGCGCTCATACATACTCATAAAATAAAAATAGATGAATTCTTAAAAAATTATAAGAAAAATTTTGTACTTTGTCACACTCAATTGCAAGTAACCTTTGCTTTTGAAATATGCCATAAGATGTATTACTTGCTTTGGTGGGCTGTTTCTTTTCAGAATGTAATTGCTGACCTCTTGAAGAGCTGTTTTATGACTTGTCAGTCTGATATTACGCTGATGAAGTCAGGAAGCTGGTTCGGTTCGGTTTGGTTTGGTTTGTTGTGGTAGGAATTGAACCCAGGGTCTCATGCATATAGGGAAGCCTCTGCTACTGTGCTTTCCTCTGCTACTGCGCTTTATTGCTAGGCCAGCAGGAAGTGTGTTTAATGCAACGTCCATTACAGTCTTTTCAGTGGATGTCAATAGAAATAGTTCAGGTTTCCGTTTCTGATTTGTAGTTGGGGAAGAAGTGGATGGAAAGTGGCTCTGTTTAGTTTTGTTGTTTTATTTGGATTTTCCCTTTAGAAAATAGAAATGATTTGAGTTTTGTATAATTGGAAGTAAAGAGCTGATGCCCCATGTGTACACATGACAAGTAGTAATATGCAATGCTGTGGGTAGCAGCCATTTGAGGCAGCCTGGGCCCTTCAGCACTGGTGAACGTGGGGAAAACACTGCACCCCTCCTCCCTTCAGGTAATGGTGAAGTGTGGGTAGTTGGAGATGAACTTTGAGGAGGCAGTTTCTCCTAGGGCCATCCTTCACCAGTCCCAGCATAAGGCAGGTGCCTCGGGGAGTACCTGTTGCCAGAGGCCACCGACAAGACCCTGTTACAGACTTTCATTCCTATTAAGCCCAAAGAACCCATAGAAAATGAGTCATTTCTCTGATGTTGGGAGAGTTGTAGAGTCATTTTCAGAGCCTGAACCCAACTTGGCTCTGTAACATAACCACACTGTCTCATAGTGTTTCCCACCCGCTGCTAGTAGGAAACCCCAACAGCCCTCTGAGAGAAAATCCTAGATCACTGCTTAGTTTCCTGTCAGCTTCCTTGCCAAAGAAACTTTGAGGGGGTCTTTGGAAAAGAACCCAGTGTTTAAAAAGTCAGCATGTAGATTTGTTATGGTCTGTGGATGACTTAGTATTGTACAGTCAACCCATTGTCTGCAACATAAAGCTTTCTGTTTTACTGCCTGTTAGATTTTTTTTTTATTTCTACTGTTAAATGTTATGCTTCTTCTTTATTCTTGTATTTCATTTTTTGTCACATTGTACTTTATTTTTGATTTAAAAATAATATAACTAGCTGTGTTCTACTTAGTGTATTTTTAGATACCTTCCATTTTCTACCATATATCAGCATTCCATTTGTTTTTATAGTAGAATTATTCCAATATATGTCACATTTTGTCTTTACATGGGTTGGTGGGCATTTGGGTTGTTTTATTTTTTTTTTGGCTACTGTGAATAATGCGGTTCTGTGTGTGTGTCTGTGTCTGTTGATACAGTTGCAAAACTGACTTATAAAGTAGTTGCATCATTTTGCTCACCTACTAACAATATATGGCAGCTCCTGTTTCTTCCCATTCAGGCCAATCCTTACTTTGTTTTTAATTTTAGCCATCTTAATAAACATGAAGTAGTAACTCATTGTGGTTTGATTTGCATTACCCTGGAGGTTAATGTTAGTAAGCATCTTTTCATGTGTTTATTGGCCATTCATATATCTTTTAGTTCTTTTTTGCTTATGTTCAATTGAATTACTTGTCCTCTTGTTACTGTATTTTAGGAATTCTTTATTCTACTTATGATCCTTTCTCAGATTATGGTTTATAATATTTTCTACTTTGTGGGTTGTCTGCATTCTTTTTAAAAGATACTGTTTTATTATATGTATGTGCATGAGCCTGAGTGAGTATATGTGTACCATGTGGCATGCCCATACAGGCCAGAAGAGTGTGTCTGGTGCCCTGGAACTGGATTTAACATGTGGTTGAGTCACTGTGTGGGTGCTAGGAATCAAACTTGGGTCTTCTGGAAGCTGCCAGTGCTCTTAATCAAGTAATGGCTGAACCATCTCTCCAGCCCACAGTTTTTTGTTTCTTGAGTTTTTGTTTTGTTTTAATTTTTATTTATGGTTGTGTGATTGTATGCCACATTGCAGGTGCCTGAGAAGTTCAGGATTCCCTGGAACTGAAATTATAGGCAGTTGTGAACCTCCTGACTAGGGTTCTAGGAATTGAACTTGGGTCCTCTAGAAGAGCAACAAGCGCTCTTAACCACTGGGGCATATTTCCAATCCCTCAGTTAGGTTTGTTTTCTGAAGTTCAACTTATTTTATTAAATATATATCGTTATATTTTATATATGTATATAGGTGCACATACACATAACGTTTGGAGGCCAAAGGTTGATGTCATTTGTCTCTCCCAGTCACTGTCCACCTTGGTTTTTGAGACCATGTGTCAAACTTATTATTTGGCTAGAGTGGCCGTCTAGCAAGCCACAGAGGCGATCCTGTCTACCCTACTACAGTGCCACTGTCCCTGGCCTTTTTGTGTGGTGCTGAGATGGGACTCAGGTTTGCATGGCAGACTCTTGAGCTGAGCCATCTCTCCAGCTCCTTACCTTGTTTCCTGTGTTTGTCCCACGGTGCAGTCCAGTCAGGCATGGGACTTAATGTCATTTATTAAATAATCTTTTACCCACTTATGTTTAAAGTATCTTTATATAGTAAATTGTTTCTGTTTTTGTTTTTCGAGACAGGGTTTCTCTGTGTAGTTTTGGTGCCTGTCCTGGATCCTGCTCTGTAGACGAGGTTGGTCTGGAACTCACAGAGACCCACCTGCCTCTGCCTCCTTAGTGCTGGACTTAAAGGCGTGGGCCACCACCCCCTGGCGTAAATTCTTAAATACAGCAAATAGTATGTTTTGTGACTGTGTATCCTGTTTAATGCTCTCCCTGTCTGACAGTACTAGTTGTCACAAAGGTACTTCTCTGGCTTTCTCCTCCCCATCCCCACGTCCTGGCATGCTTATGTCTAGCGGCAGCCGGTTCAGCCTTTTGCTTCTGTTTCTGTCATTTCCATGCCTCTGGTTCACAGTGGTGTGTGGACCTTCCGCTCTTGTCCACTTTTAGACATCGATGCTCTATGGCTGTACGAAGATGTGGCTCTATTGCATGCCCTTGCTTTCCTTCTCAGGATGTATTTTTGGGAAAACCCGTTTCTGAGTCATCTTAAAGTTTTAGTTATTTATACACAGTGTAAATAGTCAGTTTTAAGATGTATGCTTCTGGAGGTTATTCATAGCAAGCATCATTGTCTTTAATCAGTATTGGATTTTGTTTTTCTTAAACTAAATAATGCAGTTATTATTTTTTCCTTGTCATTTGCAACCTTTCCAACCTGTTGGGAGTTTTCAGGACAGTTTCCACAAAATAGTCATGATAAGCAACTTTAGAGGTCTGGGGTTTTTCTTGGCAGTATTTCAAGAATATCCATATGTTTTCCAGGCCTGTGGACATCCTTGTGAATGGGCTTTCTGGCTTTTAACTTTATCATTAGTGTGAATGACATCTTTTTCTACTCTAGCTTTTAGCAGGTTTTGATCAATATATTGGAAATATATGTAAACAAAAGGAAATATATTCATGTTAGTCACTGTTAGCATCTATGGTATGTGTTAATCTCCTTAACTTTCTCCAAGTCATGTTTATAACTACTGTACTAGTGTGCATCAATCCAACCAAGCCCGGGGAGCTGGAGTCCCTCCTTCCAAGTCAAAAAAGGGGCAGACTCCTGGGGGAGCTCAGTTTGTCGGCTTGGAGTTATATAAGCGACTGAAGGAGTTTTTGAAGAATTACTTGACAAATCTTCTCAAGGTAAGATGTCTCACTGATATACTAAGCATGTAAAAAGGCTTTGTTTTGTTTTGTCTTAAATGCAATGATTTGCCATGGCTGTCATCTCTGTCATGTTCACTGCTTTAGATTGGCACTCTGCCTAGACTGGGTTGGCTATTGATACAACTACCTACAGCCTGTGATTTAAAAGCTCATTAGCTCATTAGCTCAAACCATTGATTGGGCAATGATGAATCTTTTCCCTTAGCCTTCTGCCTTTGGTCTTCAGTAGTCTGTTCTGTAACAAAGGAAGTGGGTTGCCTTACTCTCAGCCATTGGGTGGGCAGATAGCTCCCTCATCTGGTGTGGATGTCTTCAATCAGTGAAGGTGATTTTACTCTCTACTCTCTTCTGTGTGTACAGTTTAATTTTTTTTTTTATTTATGTTGAGGATATAATAGTATTTTCTGCATGCTGCAAAAAGTGGTTTTTTTTTCTTAATTATTTTACAAGCTTAGTGGAAACATATTATTCTAACAGACTGTAGTTGCCTGACAAGTTATAATTAATGTTCCACTTTCATGTTCTTAAACATGAAGTGTCTTGCTATAGCTCCTGTCCTTTGTATTCACAGCACTTTGCAAATAAAGCCTTGTAAGCAAAGTATGTTCTGTTTTCAGTAGCTAACCATCAGCAACATATTTTCATTTTCCACCTAGAATAGGTCATCTTACGTTTTAAAATTCACTATATTTAAATAAACAAAACCTTTGGTTGTGTCTGGGTGTGGCCAGGTATTTACACAGATGCTCGGGTCACTTGAATGTTGTTATATGGAGAACTACAGGTCTGCTGGGCTGTGGCTTCCCCCGTGAAGATGACACTGAGGCTGGAGCTAGACTAGGCTACCCCTGGCCTTTACTGTACCTCCTTGGCACACTCAACACAGCCTCGATCAATGGTAGTGCAGTGTTTTTAAAGGGGAGGACAGTGCAGATGTCATTACTACCTAAGAATCTTTCAGGTTCATTTTGTCCAAATAAAAATTGGTGAGTTTAAAGTAAAAATAATTTTGATAACTTCCTATTTTCCCTCTGAGGTTTTGTTAGAGAAGAAATGTTGTATTGTTACGTTTTTGTTACAAAAATGCAACAAATGCCACATTTAAGATGAATATTTTTGTAAGTTTACAAATTGGTGAAGCTGTCCATATTTTTTTAATGAGTATACTAGCTTCTATTATAATTTGTTAATAAGATAGGTTGATTTTTTTTTTAAAACTGGAAAGATGTCAAACATAGAGATGCTTTGGAGGTAGATTCCTTAATAAGAAGAAATTGCTTAAAAACTAAACTAAGCAGGATTGGAGGTGCATACCTGTAATTCCAGCACTGGCCTATAATCCTAGCTTTCAGGTGGTGGAGGCAGAGGAACAGAAATTCAAGGTCATCCTCAGCCAAATTGTGAGTTCAAGGCCAGCCTTGGAAAATATGAGCACAAAAGGAGACAGGGTAAAGAAATTGCCCCGGGTATGGTGGACACACCGATAATCCCAGCAACTCAAGAGGATCACAAGTTCTAGGTGTACACTTGGGCTGCACACTTGAGTTTAAGGGCAGCCTGGGAAACTTATCAAGACCCTGCTTTAATTAAAAGTAGAACAGTTGCCTAGCACTAGACCAAGCCTAAGTTCAGTCACCAGTACTAAAGAAAAAGCATGAAAAAAAGAAAAATTATACTTGCATTCTGAAAGCTTAGGGTGCACTCTGTGACTGCATGTGTATATTCAACCCATGAAAAGTTCCAATTTAATTTGGTAATGAAAGAACTTGTTAGTGTTCTTGTGAGAATTTATATTAGCATATTTTCATACACAGCAGTTATAAGAACCCATCTATAACCATATGTATTCATGTATTTTGATGCAGTAGCTTTTCAATGAGTTTGTCTTGATCATGTGACAAACCTCAGTGTACTTGTTTTTAGGATGGAGAAGACTTAATGGATGAGAGTGTACTGAAGTTCTACACTCAGCAGTGGGAAGATTACCGATTCTCCAGCAAAGTGCTGAATGGAATCTGTGCCTACCTCAATAGACATTGGGTTCGCCGCGAATGTGATGAAGGACGGAAAGGAATATATGAAATCTATTCAGTAAGATTTTTTTTAAAGAATAAGAACATTTAAATATGTTGTGGAGGGGTTGGGGATTTAGCTCAGTGGTAGAGCGCTTGCAAGGCCCTGGGTTCGGTCCTCACTCAGCTCCAGGAAAAAATATATATATGTTGTGGCAAGAAAGTAGAGAGCTGGGAAATTGCAGCAGTAACAGACAGTTGAACAGTTCTGTGTTTACTTTTAAAGTCTCTTCAGTTAATTGGCCAGTTATCATGCTTGGCCTGGAACTGCTTGAGTTTGGCACTAGAATCCTAGATGCTGGCAGTTAACCCCAAACCAGGTAATCTGAGGATTAAGCACTTGACTGAGCCCTCATACACTTTCTTGGGCTGAGAGTTCTGTGTTTGAGAGAGGACCTTGAATTCAGAGAACCCTGAATTAATTTTTTCTTTTTTTTTTTTTTTTTTTGTTAGTCTTCAAGGTTTTTGTTTTAGGCCCTCTGGTTTCTCAGAGTCTGACCCCCATCAGTATCACCAAAAACATGATAGAGATGCAAATTCTCAGACCTCTTTCTAAACTTGAGATGAGCCATAGGTAGGGGCAGGGAGTTCAGGTAGCAAAGTGCTTGCTTAGTATGTATGAAGTCCTGGGTTCAGCCTGCTATACTGCGCACACCTGTAATCCCAGCACTTGGGAAATAAGAGGCAAGAGAATCATAAATTTGAGTCATAACACATTCCTGGCCAACTTGTGCTAAATGAGACCCTGTCTGAAAAAGAATAAAGAAGATAAAAAGTTCCACAGAGTTGGAGTGATAGCTCAGTCAATAAAGTATTGGCCTTGTAAACACAAGGACCTGAGATAATCCCCCAGAACCTGTGTGGAAAAAAAAGCATGTTACTGACATTTGTAATCCCTTGCCGAGGAGGCGGGCACAGGCAGATCCCTGGAGCTCACTGGCCAGCCTGCTTATCATTCTGGACAAGAACAAGCCAATAAGAGACCTTGTCTCAAAAAACAAGGTGGATGACTCCTGAGGAACAACAACAGAGGTTGTTCTCTGGTTTCTACATGCATGCTCACACACAATAAATAAATAGACAAACAGATAAATATTTCTCCAGGTAAGCAGAGTGAAGGAGAATCATTGTTCTAGAACGGTTGGGGGGAACTCGTTGAAAACATTAGTCTGCTCATGGATGTCTGTCAGATGTAATCCTTAAAATGTCACATTCTGATGCTGTGTTATAATAGCAATATTTTGTTGCTTTGCTTTTGACAAATTTAATTAGACAAAAACAAAACAAAAAACCCAAAACAGCTCAGATGCAGGTCCCAGATTTACTTCACAGTGACACTTTATTGTGTAGTTACATAGGCTTTTGCTGGAGGTTCTGTGTGTTTGCTTTTCTGTTGGGTTCTTTGAAACAAGGTATCATTGTAGCCTTGGCTGGCCTGGGACTTTACTACATAGACCAGACTGGCTTCAAGCTCAGATGCCTGACTCTGCCTCCCAAATTCTGGAATTAAACCACACCTCGTTTGTTATATGGTTTTAACCACATTTGCTAGGTTCAGTTTTTTGAATTAAGGTTTTTGTATTTTTCTTTTCGTTAATATATTTTAAAATTATGTTTATCCCATTGAACATATTTTGAACCCTGTCCATCAAGGAATGGCTGGTATGCTTCCCTTGTCTCAGAATTGCAGAGTGGGACTCAACGCGGTTCTGGTTGATATCATTTTGGAAACTGCTTGACCTGAATTTCCACGTGTATGCTCTGCAGCAACATCACAGACTACTGAAGGTCATCCTGCTTTTCCACATTTCATGTGCTTTGTTCAACATTTAAAACAGTGTAAATAAAAAGCACCAAGATCCATAATGTTTCTCAAGACTCAGCCAGACATGGTGGCACATACTTTTAATCCCAGTACTAGGGAGGCAGAGGCAGGCAGGTATCTCTTGAGTTGCAGGCCAGCCAGCCCTACATAATGACACTGTGTTAGACAAGAATCAGCTACCTTCGTTACTTTTTAAATCTGCTTTCAAAACCCTCACTTTCTGTTTCAACAAATAGTGTAGCTACTGTTTGGAAAAGCAGGATACCACCATAAATTCTCTTCCTATCTGTGTCCCAGGTGTGCTGCCTCAAGAGCCTGCTCCAGTCATTTGCTAGTTTGTATCCAAGCTCAGTGGGACAGTTGCAGCCTGTGGTTTTGTCTTAGGCCCAGAGCCTCCAGCACACGTGCCTGCTTCATCATGCAGTGACTTAGGACAAATTACAAGGCTTTGATTCTTTTCTAAGTCCTTTTCCCCTCTTTTTAATTAGAGAAGGTTTTTGGTTTCCTTCCAGGTCAGGCAGAGAATCTAAGTGGATTTCATTGTTAATGTGTTGAAGTTCTGACCCCCAGACTGGTTATGCTAACCTGTTGTGAAGTTTCTTTGATTTACCTCTTGGCCTTCTTTGCTCTCGGACTCTGTTCCTTTGAAGCAACAAATCATCCAGAACTGCATTATGTCTGCTAAGGATGTGGCTGGACAAATAGTTTTTTAAAGTGTAGGATTCTGTCAGAAGCTGATAACCATAGCCTCGTGTTTTCGTTGCTGCCATACTCCTGTCTGAAGGGGCAGGGGAGCAGAGTTGCTTCTCTCCTAGACAGGGAAGCTCAGTCTTCCAGCACCTTTTGCATACCACAGGCAAGAATTCCTAATAACACTGGACCTGGTGGTATGCACCTTTAATCTCAGCTCTGGGATACAGAGGCAGGGGGATCTCTGTGAGGCCAGCCTGGTCTACACACATAGCCAGCACTACGTGGTGGTGGTGGGACACGGGGAGGGGGAGGACAGACAAACAGAAAACTTAAATATTGCTTTCATGGTCTTTATTTTATTGGAGACACTACTTGGAAAATACTTTTCATAGATTTAATTTATATGTAGTATTTTCAAAAATACATATTTTTACAAACTTAATTTTATCTCTAGCTAAATTGGGGAAGGGGATAATGGCATTTATGTTTAATTTCTTGACAGTTTATGTGTTAAATAAAGTGTTATAAATTTCAATTCTGTTTGAACTTTCTAATACCTCTCCCAACAGTTTAAAAATCATGTATGAATTCTAACTTTCTTCTTTCAGAGACCATTTTTACAGTAATTAATCTTAGTATAACACTTGTAGGAAGATTAGGAATGGAAAATGGACCGTGGTTTTTATGCATTCATGTTAAAATGCATATATCAGGGGCTGTGGAAATGGATGGCTCAGGAATACCTGAGTCTCTATCCATGTGTGTACCTTCTCAGATACACAGGTGAGCATGTACACACAAAAATATATGTCTCACACATAGTCACATGAAGACATAAGTACAGTGGTAGGTTTTAATTTATGTACAAGAAACTGCATTTAAAATACACACTCTTAGATAGAAAAAGATGGAAGATTTTTATGTTTTCTACAATTTGTCTTGGTGTGTTAGGAAACTATGGTAGTGACTGGAATTACTTTTATCAGGTATATCTGATCGAAAACTGTTGGATCCAGGGAATACATTGATAGGTTGAATCTGCTACTGGTTTTTGAGCTGATACAAGTGCCCACCTTAAATCAGAATGTTCTTTTTCAACTTCACTGTTAAAATGTGAGTTGGTAAACATCTGTGCAAAGTGATTAACTTGAGAGGGTGGCTCTGATTTCATTGTTGTAGTAGATTTTTTTTACTGAGTTATAATCAGGAATTTTGGTAAAATTAAGAATTCAAATTGTCTGACCAGTTTTGGGGGAACCATAGGGAAAACAGTTATTTAATACATCTTTTCTCCTTTTTCATCCAGCTTGCGTTAGTGACGTGGAGAGATTGTTTGTTCAGGCCATTGAATAAACAGGTATCTACTGTGGAATGTGTGTGGTTTTCCTTTTAAAATTCCTACTTTTATCCTGTCTTCTCAAGCCTTTGGACTGTCTCAAGAGTATTTGTTGAGCTGGGGATGTGGCTCAGTGGGTCAAGTGCTTGCGGTGGAAGCGTGAGGGCCTGGGGTAGAGCCCCACACCCACAGAAGAAAGCAGGTGTGGTGATGCCCAATAGTGATCCTAGCACTGGAGAGTAAGTTCTCTGGGGCTCCCTGCCACTGCCACCCTAGCCTCCTGAGTGAGCTCCAGGGTAGTGGGAGACTGTCTCAAAAAACAAGGTGGATTACTCCTGGGGAGCAGGACTTGACACTGTCCTCTGGTCTCCACATGCAAGTACACACATGTACATACTCACCCCTAAAATATTTGCTACCTTGTATTATTTAATGGCTTTAAATGTTTAAAGGATATGTAAGATACATTGTGACCTGCAATATGTCTACCCAATATTTTTTCCGTATTCTTAAAGGTAACAAATGCTGTTTTAAAACTGATTGAAAAAGAAAGAAATGGCGAAACCATCAATACGAGACTGATTAGTGGAGTTGTACAATCTTATGGTAAATAATTTGTCTTTATTCAGTTTTCATATCACATGGCAATTATGATAATTCTCTGACATTCATTAAAAACATTTAAATATTTTCAAGAATATTATTCCATGTTAAGGTACTTTTAAGTAGTAATTTTTTAAGGTGTAAGTTATTTAATCTTTGTACTTTAAGGAAATTTTGATTGAAAAAATTGAATTATTTCCTTTGCTGCTTTCATGAGGAAATGCTTATATATAATGTGATTGTTTTTGAGCTAAATGATAACTAAAAATCTATCAGCTTGAAAAATTGAGATTGAGACACTGACTAAACCATGCATTGAAGCTCAGGTGGGTTTGCATTGCTCAGGTGGGTTTGCATTTCTGTGACCATTTATAATGCAACATTTAGATCACTTTTGGAAATACAAACTTTCTCTAACTGAACTTGGGTAATGTGGCCCAGGTAGGAGTGATTTGCTCCTATACATCTTGGAGTTTACTGTTTTGTTTTGTTTTGTTTTTCTTTTATTGAAACAAGCATATTTCAATACTAGTGAATACAGTTACCTTACAACCCTCCATTTCACATTGATCTTTCAAGTGTAACTTAAACTGAATGCTACACCGAAGTATTATCTGTGAAATATAACAAAAATGGGGTAATTGAAATATAGCTCATATTTATTTCTAGTGGAATTGGGACTGAATGAAGATGATGCATTTGCAAAGGGCCCTACGTTAACAGTGTATAAAGAATCCTTTGAATCCCAATTTTTGGCTGACACAGAGAGATTTTATACCAGAGAAAGTACTGAATTCTTGCAGCAGAACCCAGTTACTGAATATATGAAAAAGGTAAGCTTAAACATAGTATGTAAAGTAGATGTAAGTTAAATAGTCATTGCTCCTCCAGTGAGTTCTTGGCAGTGCGGTGCTCCTCACAGGTCAGGCTTGGCACTGCTGACACAGTGTCCAGCAGGTCTAACTCCTGGAACTCTCCAAGGGACTTTCCAGATTGATAATCATGAATGAGTGTTCCTTTTGCACATCTGAGGAGCTGCATGCCGTCCATGTTTTGAATCGTCTCCCCTTGAGTGTGTCTGACTAGTGGACCTCAAAATTTTGTCAATGAGAAAGTATTAAGCAGATAATCCCAGATTTGATTTTTAATTAAATATTTATTTATGTTTGCTGCTTTTCTCTTAAATATTCCCTAAGAATCTATAGCTTAGTCTTCAAGATTATATTAGGAAGGAGGATCTAAATTCTGACTTGGTAGAACCATATATCCTACATCCATTATTTTACTACATGATGCTTCCATGAGCTCGTAATAGGATTTTTCTTTGCTCTTTCTTGGAAATTGAGGTATTCTGGATGTCAGGTCTGAGGAATGACTGTGTCAGGAGTTGACAGGCTTTCTGTTGTAGAGTGCCAGGCAGGAAATACCTTTAGGCTTTGTATGCTCTGTATGATCTCTTCTGCCACTGTTCAGCTCTGCTGTTAGAGCACAAGCACAGTCATAGCACTGGCAAAGAAACAGGAAACGGGCAGCAGGATTCTCCAACAGACTGTAGAGTCTGGTGACCCCTCTCCTGCATGTACTAAATTTCAGGAGTCTGGTTCATACCAATTCTAAAACCTGCTTTGCCCTCTCTTGGGCAGGAAATGGACTGCAAAGTCATTTCTTCTGTGTTTAAAGAAAGGAAATATAAGCCCAACCACCCTGCTTCTGACTTACAGGAAAAGTCATGCCCAGTTTGTGATGTTCTGAGTGCATTTTCATATGGTATACTTATACCGTGGCTATAAGAGGGCCTTCTGAGTTTGAAATTGAAACTCAATTACACATTTCTGATGACTCAAAATCCAACTGAAGTGGGACTGTTCAGTTGTATATGTGGGATAGTAGCAGTTCTTTGTATTTTGTATGTGACTGAAACCTGGCTTGCTCCCTAAGAGTATTTGAAACATAACATGTTTTGAATTGTGGTATTGGCCATTATTTAATTTTGTAGTGTGACAGTGTAGTTTTTATAAACAGATTTCTTACTGAAGAGACCTATTTTCAATGTTTTGCATTTATTTTGTGTGTATTTGTGTACACATATATGCCTGTGTGTGCATGTATATACATAGACAGGTGTATGTATGTCATGGTAGCATTCATGTAGAGTGGATCTTTCCTTCTACCATATGGGTACCAGGGATCTAGTTCAGGTCATCAAGATTAGCAGCAACAACCCTTATCCCACCTAGCCTTCTTGCCAGCCCAGTAGTGATTTTTTTTTAAAACTATGTCTTTAAAATGGAACCTTCCTCCATGTTGCACACCACTGTGGTGCCAGCCTATCTTTCATAGACTTCTTCATGCTTTTTGGTGATGTCTGCTGCACAAAGAAAACAAATTTTAGGACAGTGCTTCATTCACACTGAAACAAGGAAATCTTTTTTAAACTTTGACCACTTCAAGAATAACAGTGTCTGGTGTGTAGGGTGTTTGCAATCCAGCCTGTGCCCAGCTTCTAGGAAGCTCTCTAAAAGCATTAAAAATTTGGTCCTGACCCACTTAGAAGTCATACTAAGCATGACTTCTATCTTGTTCTGGAAATCCATAGTTTAGACTCTAAAAACAAACAGTGTATAAATTTAGCTACATGAATACTTTATCGCATACAGCGGAAATCTTATATCCGTGTGTCTCGAACTGGGCCACTAATTCTAAAGGTTAAAGGGTGATCTTGATCATTCTGTTCCTTAGTTTCCTTGCCTGTGAAACAGGAATAATAACAGCAGGCAATATTGGGGACTTGGCAAGCTTTACTTTTAAAATAATGTGAGGAGATTTGAAACTGTATGTATGTACTAGCTGTCTGTATTGAAAGAATCTCTAGAAAAGTGCGGCAGAGCAAACCCGCTGGAGGGCTGTGGCCTTACACATGTATCTCAGAGTCTCCAGCGTGTGCCTGGGCAGGTTGGGAGCCACTAGAGATAAAGGTTGGCAGCGTCAGTAACTTGAGGAGAAATTACATTTATATTAAAACGGTCAGGTAGAATACATGTCAGGAGAATAATACTGAGGTAAAGATTAGCTGTCAGGAAATACCCTGCTTTCAACAGCCTATTTGGGCTAGGTATTCACAGTCCCCAGGGGGTCTCTGTTCACTTTGCTGTGGTCAGGAGTATTTTAGTGCAAACATTTGATAATTGCTGGTCCATCCAAGGATGATGGCTTTAATGGCTAAACCAGCTATAAGCCGTATTAACACTTTAAAATCTGTCTCAAGTGATTGAGACTGATCTGTCCTATTTAAAAAAAAAAAAAAAAAAACCATGAACTTGTTTGAATATTCTAAATTCCTAATATTTTTATTATTTAAAAATAATATGGGCTGGAGAGATTGCTCAACAGTTGAAAGAGTAGGTGTTGCTCTTGCAGAGGACCTGGGTTTGGTTTCTAGCACCCACATGGTAGCTCACGGCCATCTGTAACCACAGTTCTGAGGATTCCAGCAACCTCTTCTGGCCTCTGTGGGTACATAGTCTGCATACATACATGTAGCCAAACATTCTTTCACATAAAACAACTTATTTCATTAATTTGCTCACCAACCTTTCAGTTATGCATTTTCTGCCCCTTTGTTTTTGCTTAGAATTGCTTCTAATGGAATTGATCACCATCATTTTCCAGAACTCTAGGGTACTTAGTCATTTGAATATGATTGTGGTGTTCCATGATCAGTACATGATGTGGGTGGCAGTAAAGATACCTGCTGCCACAAATTAGTCTCCAGTTAGGGACCTGCTTCCTGTTTCCTGCCACTTGGCCCCTGCAGGAAGCTCTATCAACTGTCAGTGTCCCCAGAGAGAATCCACAAGGACATCAAAGCCTAGCCTTCTGACCAGGATGACCTGTGTTCTTCCAAGAACCGGGCACAACATAAAACAGGAAAAGTGGTACTTAAGTAGATCTCCTTCTGCTCTTCAGTGTCAGGTGGAATGAAAGCCTGGCGCTCAGCAGCAGAGCCTGAACTTGGAATCTCTGTTCTAGAAGAACTTTGTAGTCCAAGAAACACAAGTACAAATTAAAGACTGAAGTACACAGTGACAGACCCACCAGCCAGGAACACTTAAGAGACTGGAGTGCTGCTGTGGGCTTTGGGGCTGGGGTGGTTCTTTTGTTTGAACTGAAGCAGTAACGATTTAGTGGATAATATTTATCAACTGTACTGTAAATTATTTTTAGCATATTTTGAATTTTAATTAAGAATTAGCTGGACCGTGGTGGCGCATGCCTTTGATCCCAGCCAGTACTCGGGAGGCCCCAAAATTACACAGAGAAACCCTGTCTTGAAAAACCAAAAAAAAAAAAAAAAAGAATTAAAAATTTCTAACTTCAAACCTTTCGTGTTTCTTTCTGACTTTTCCCTCATTCTGGCTTTTTGGATAGACTTACTGGTTAAATAGAGGTCATTCTGTGTTAAGGCTGGGTGATGCATATGCAGTTAACTGTGTTCAAGTTTACTTTGCATGTTTAGCTTTCTGCCAAGTGTGTGTTAGTGTGTGTTGTGGCTCTAGCTGCTTCCTGTAGTTTCATAACTACCCATTTGATGGTCCAAGCTTGGCCTAGTCAGTTGTTTTCTCAGTATTGAATGTTTATTCAGTTCCAATGGTAATTTTCCAAATTTATCCACAGTTATACCAAATCTGAGAGGTCACTGGAGAGTAAAATACAGCTTTTGTCTTTTTTTATTCAGATCACGTGAATAATTCACTACTATCATTGAAATTTCTTGCTTATTCTGATAATATAGCACATCCTCCGTGACTTCTGTATCCCGTTTCTGGTGACAGATTCTAGAATATACTGTCTTTTACGTGTGTTTCTGTTGTGTTATATTGCCTGTTAGCCTCTCTTCTTGGAGAGAGATCCAAGACAGTGAGATTCCCAAGTGGCCGCGTGGGCTTTTAGGGGCATGTTCAGTGGTTGGAAGAGAAGGCTACAGTGTGCATTTGTTCGTTAGTTCTTTTTTCTTTTTTCCTCATTGCTGATTATTATTTCTGAGTGGTCATTTCTAGGATTATATTGGTGTGACCCTTTATTTCAAATGCTTTCAGGCCAAAGAAGTGTTTCCTAATTCAGTGTCCACATACTGGAAAGGACCTGTAGGTTTCTCTCATGGTCACAGGGATGTGGGGCATTCCCTCCAAAATAAGAAATACCATTTACCCAAAGAAAAATGACATGAAGACATTTGAACTGTTAATTATAATAATGTTCTTAGGGCACTTAAAAGATTAGCGCCTGTGTTGCAGAGAGAGTAGAGCACACCAGAGGCTTGATGTGGTTGGTTGTTAGTCACCCTCCAATCTGAAGTCCTTTTCCCTTGCTTCATCATACTTTACTAGAGCAGATTTGTGAATCAAGTTTGTCATTGTTCACGTAATAGTTCTTTAAAAGTGAATCAAACCATGCATGCTTTGATTGACTTCTCTGCAGGCTGAGGCTCGTTTGCTGGAGGAGCAGCGGAGAGTGCAGGTTTACCTCCATGAAAGCACACAAGACGAACTAGCACGCAAGTGTGAGCAGGTCCTCATCGAAAAACACTTGGAAATTTTCCACACAGAGTTTCAGAATTTGTTGGATGCTGACAAGAATGAAGGTGAGTATAATTTGCTCCATATACTTTTGTTGGCAATGGTGGGCAGATTTTTTTGTTTTTTTCTTTTGAGTATTCTTTCTTTAAAAAGGTGAAAAGATGTTTTTGTTTTGTTTTCTCTTCCCTTAATTGCTCCTCTGTGCTAGTGGGAACTGTTAGTGGTTCAGTCACATTGCTGTTGGGATTTAGGATTTTCCATCTTTAATCATCACAGATTGAGCACATATATGACGTGAATAGTTTGGGGATCCCTCCATGACTTATGGTTGAAGTAGGTATCTATATTGTTTATTTGTTTTTCAAACAAATATATTAGTACCTTTTGGGACATAAATAGTATCTCATTAGGATTTTAGAAGGCAAAATTTGAGTACTTTTTCTCTATTGTTACATAAGTGGATTCTCATGCTAAAGGAGAAATAAACTTCTAATAATCTGACTCCATTATTGATTTTAACAAAACACACCAGAACTAGATGGTTTCTTGTTTCACAGTATCTTTCAATTGATATAAGTATATAGTGAGCAGAATAGGTATGCACAGTTGGTTTCCATGCATAAAATTGGCTCCTTTTTTCTTTCAGATTTGGGCCGCATGTATAATCTTGTATCTAGAATTCAGGATGGCCTAGGAGAATTGAAAAAACTCCTAGAAACACATATTCATAATCAGGGTCTTGCAGCGATTGAGAAGTGTGGAGAAGCTGCTTTAAATGTAAGTAGTGCCTGGCTGAAAGCAGTTGAGCCCATTATTTTCACATGCCAACTGCAGGTGTATGCAGTGCGTCTTTGTTGGTAATTACAGGGAGTTAAGATTTTACTGACATGCTCAGAGAACCTATTTTGGTCTTTTGAAAGGATGAAGTTCACAAAATCCTTAAATTATTCTAGCATCTTTTTTTTTTTTTTTTTTTTTTTTTTCTCCTTTAAGGACAGAATTTCATTATGTAGCCCATGCTGGCCTTGAATTTACAGCGATCTGCCTGCCTCTTTGTTTCTGCCTCCTGAGTGCTGGGATTAATGGCTTGCACAACCACATCCATCCCTCTCCAGCACCTTTTTAAGTATTGATAATCTCGTTTTTCCTTATTGTCTTGTTTTAGTGTATGTGAGTGTTTCTGCCTGAATGTTTGTATGCCTGAGAAGGTCACCTGGAACTGGAGTTAGTTATGAATGGTTGTGAGTCATCATGTGGGTGCAGGGACTGAACCCTGATCCTCTGGAAGGGCAGCCAACTGCTGAGTGATCTCTCTAGCTTCTTATTTGTCCATGTGTTTATATTTTTCACTGTATCAAAAAGTGGGTTTGTGCTCATAGGTGCAGTGCCCACAGCAGCCAAAAGAAGGTGTCATAACTCTTAAAGGTCGTAGTATTTGTTGTGAGCCACCCAACTTGGGTGCTGGGAACCAAACTCTGGTCCTCTGCAAAAGCATACACATTTTTAGCCGCTAAGCCATCCCTTATCCTAAATTTGTGAATGATAGGTCTGTAACCACAGGAGAACAAAGATACTTGTCATGAAACAAAAAAAAGGAGAAAAAAATATACAATAATTTTTTAATCTAGCTTGACCAAGCTGTCATTTTTATATCCAGGATACTCTTTTTTTTTTTTTCCAATAAAAAGAAGACTTTAATCCCCCTTAAGCAAACTCGTTGTGGAAGTCTTTATACCACATCAGACTCAATTCCCATGCCAACCGTGCTGTGCACTGACAGTGCTAAAGCGGGCCCCGGCTGGTTCAAGGCCAGTTAGAAACCTGTCACTAGACTTGGTCCTTGCTGCCTGTCCTTGGTCGGATGGGCCATGAATTCAAGGCAATCCTGGGCTACCTGGTGAGTTCTAGACCAGCCTAGGTTATAGAATAAGACCCTACCTTAACATACAAACCCAGAAGTTGTTCATTATGTCTGAAACTTAGAGCTGGCTCTTTCATGGGCCAGACATAAATGTTTGGAGCAAAAAGGAGCAACAGAGGTTGCAATAATGATGTTTGTCTCTGTTTTAGACTTGAAGCCACACGCAATCTTATTTCTGCTTGTTGTCGGAGGAAAAAAAGTCCATTAAGAAAGTATAAATTTGTGCTAAGTAGTGTGTGGGGCCTCATGTTTATTTCCCTTTTCTTCCCCAATTAGTTAATATCAAAATTAATTATATAGCTAGGCATGGTAGCACACACCTTTAATCCCAGCACCCAAGAGGCAGAGGTAGGTGGATCTCCGTGAGTTCAAGGCCAGTCGGCCTGCATAGTGAGTTCCAGGATAACCAGGGCTATGTAGACCCTGTCTCAAAAAGTGTGTGTGTGTGTTCCTGAACACTCATGGGGTGGGGTGGTTTGGTGGCTGATAAGGAAAGGAAGTTTTGTGTGAAATTGCCCCTTTCTCTGCAGTTGATGGTTTGTGGTCAGGGTGTGTGTTTCTGAAACTCTATGGCTTTATGTTGAGATAGATGATTTCTGTGGAGATAAAGTTACTCAAAAGGCCAGGTGCTTATGGAGAAGGGTCACTTTTTTTTTTTTTTTTTTTTTGCCCCCAGATGCTTGTATGATGTGTTTGCTTCTTTCTGGGAGCAAACTTTCTTTCCCCTAACTTCCCAGAGACAAATTATCCAGAGGTAAGGTCAGTGTTGAGGAGGGATCCATGTATCCCTGTAGTGTATGGTTAACTGCTTCCTGACGGAGAAACAAGTGTCACAATTGGCTGTCATTAGCCCCTGGGCCCATGGAAAATGCAGGTGAAAACTTTGCCCTTCAAAGTGGCTCTAGGCTTAGGTTGAAAGAATTGTTTGGAAGGAATACAAATTGATACCTAGGAAGAATAAGAGATGTTTCTTTAAAAACCTATAGAATCCCAGTTTACCTCTTGACAGTATTCTTGAATAGTACTGGGTCACTAGGAATTGCGTGTATTTAGTATCACAGCTGATTCTCAGATGTGGCATCTTGAGTCTTACTATATGGCCTTCTCTTGTCTCAGCCTCCCAGGTCATCCTGCTATGGTATGTGCCCCAGTGCCTGACTCGGGCCTTTTTGAAGACCAGTGTTGGTCCAACTTGTGTGTGTGCATTTGAACTGGGGATATTTACATGTGTGTACACAGATGCGTGTAGAGGCCAGAGGTCACTGCTGATTGTCTTCTCAGTCACTTTCCACCCAGGCAAAGAGATCCCAGACAGTCCTTCAGTGACTGTAAACAAACACAGTCTAAGACGTAAGGCAGAGGACTGGAGGAGAGTCTGGAAAGGGAGAGGGGGCTGAGCATGTAAATATGTCACTCTGCCCTAAGGGCACAAGGAAAGCCGCTAAGGGTATTATTACTAATAACCATGCACTTGACAAGACCAGATTTTTACTCAGAACATTGCTTCATGTAGAAAGTGATTGAAATTAGTGAGAGTGGTTGTAAGAATAGTAATAGGCTTTGTTGAAACAATTAAGATGAAATGACAGTGACGTGCGCGTGTATGTAATCATTTTTTGCTTAGGAAATACAGAATCACATGGCCTCTGAACGGCAGGTTGTGCAAGGTTGGTGGTGACTTTAGATGTTAGATGTGTCGGTCATGGATGTCATAACAGCTTTTAGAATCATGGGCATTGAATAAGATCCCTTGGGAACCGAGAGGAGTTTTTTTTTTATATGGAAAAGAAACCTCTTGTGTACTGTTATGGATATGAACCAGACTTACCACTATTATGTTCATTTTGTTTTAAACCTAAAATTTTTCCCCAAAGCCAGGCATGGTGCCACATACCTGTAACTGCCACTCAGGAGGCAGAGGCAGGAAGATCAAACCCAAGGCCACCCTTGGCTATATAGTACATAGGAGACTAGCCTGAACTATGAAAGACCCTGCCTCAACAAACAAAAAAACAAAACAAAACAAAACAAAAAACCAGGGCTGATTCAATGGCTTGATGGGAAGGAGGCCAAAGGCCTGACGCCCTGCGTTTGATCCCTAGGACCCGCAGTGGAAGGAAAGAACTGACCCCAAAGGGTTGTCACTCACTCCACACTAATGCTGTGGCAGCCCTCCTCCGTAGTCAAGTATGTCCTGCATCCACAGGACAATAATGAAATTCTTAAAGCCACTTTTCCAGGGCGCGCTCTCTTGGCACACATTATTCTATGGGTTCCTGTCAGTTCCACCACCTCAGCCATACTCTGCTAGGTCTTCTCTATTATGAAGAATCTAGAATCAGTCTGTAGGCTGCTTTATTCTTTGCAAAGCTTTGCATCTCTATATGGGAATTTCTTTGGGACATTTTACTGAAAATTTTGTTTCCAAATCCTGAATCTGAGGGAAAAATTTAAGAAGTGGAAAAAGCCAAAGAAAGGGTTCTAATTCTCCTATCACAGAAGAGTAAATGTGGAGTCAGTACTGATGCCCAAAGTCAGTCTGTCAAGACACAGCAGGAGAGCTGCTGTTGGGAGGTGAAGGCAAAAGTCAGCACAGGGAGAGGTGAGAGCACGTGGGAAGGACTCTGCAGGCTCATCACCTGCCATCTCAATAAATGAGTTTATCACCCCTCCATTGCTAAGCTTCAGTCATTCTCTAAGTTCTAGAATGTTTATAGACATAATATACTGTGTATGAATTCTGTGACTGGTAGTCTGTAGCATGAATCTTAATTGGTCTTATTATTAAAAACTGGGAGTCAGGTATCAGGGTGAAAGCTGAAAGATCAGAGAAGCAGACCAGCCAGCCACTAGTTCTTACCTCTACAAATTCCTCAACCGAAAGGGACTGAGCTCCTGTCTCCTCCTGCCTTATATTCCTTTCTCCATTGAGCCATATCATTTCCTGTCTCAACCTCCCTAGTGCTGGATTAAAGGCGTGTGCCAACCACTGCCTGCCCTCTATGGCTAACTAGTGGCTGGTTTTGCCCTCTGATCTTCAGGCAAGCTTTATTTGTTAGACCACAAACAAAATATCACCACAGTAGTCCCCAGAGTAGCAGGTTTTATAAGCAGTCTTGAGTCTTTAAATTGGCAGTTTTGAGATTCAGTTGGTTCTTTGCAAGCATGCTAACCTCCATGTGGGATCTAAGTGGACCAGTAGTGGTTACTGTGTTTTCCTGTGGTTGGATACTCATTGTAGGCTAGAGTTCTTTGTAAAACCAGTGACTGTGGAAATTATAAGGAAGAATATATGAATATTGTGTAGTAATTTAATGTGAGATCAGAAAGCAGTGTAAAACCTGAATCTACCAAAGTAATATTGTCTCTAATGACAAACCAAAATTGAATCAAGCAAAGGAAAAAAATGCATTGCTTAAAAAAGAAAACCCATATGAAGTAAGGTGTGTGCATGCTTAACTTGTCGGTGCCCTTGGATGCTTTCTTTAGAATTGTTCCGTCTGTGCAACATACAGGAATAGTTGTCATGAGACAGGGCCACATTATCTGATTAGATCAGGTAAAGACTATCTTTCCATCTCAGGGAAATTATATCATCACTATATTTTTTCATGATAATTTTGCATTTATTATATTTTTAAACATACACACCTGCAACCTATAGAGAATAATTGCATAATAGGGTTCTGTTTTTACCCATTATTAATTTAAAACAAATTTTACCAAAAATGCAAGGGTTTCTGTTTTCTCATTCCTGAATTGTGCAAGATAGTGTGTCAGGAACTGGGGTCTGGACACAGTGGTACACCTGTAACCCAGCCTGGGCTGCATAGAGAAATGCTGTCTCAGAAGTATCCACAGTGAAATCACACATCAGGAATTTAGAGGCACTGCCAGAATATCTCACTTCTGTGCACCTATAGCTCCTGAGTTATGAAGGGCTAGTCAAGAGCCTTTCTGCCATATGTTCATCAGCTGTACCTTTTCCATTCTGAAAGCTGAAGAGAACACGTCAGACTGGAGTCATCTACCTGAGTCCTTGCCTGGCTGTGCTGCCCCTTACTTTAGTAAGAAGTGTAACTTAGCTTAATCATCTAAAATGGACACTGAAGACGGTACCTGCCTCATGTTATGGGTCCTTGGCTGGCAAACAGTGACTGCTGAAAACCACTTGATATTGTGTAGTTCCTCCATCCATCCATCCATCCATCATCTCCTTTGTCTTCCACCAGTACTGCCTGTCTCCTTTAGCATGCAGCATGCTCTCCGCAGGGACTAATCCTCCACTGTATTCTTTTGTCTGAAGAGTTCCTGTTGCCCACCCCGAAGTTCCCAGTGCTTGTCCCTGGCCTTGGCCACACAGTTGCCATTGTGCATCCCCTACCTGTGTTCAGACCTGCTGTCATTTTGAAAAAGAAAAGACTTCCATGATCTCTCTCAGTTTTTTTTTAAGGCATTTAAATTTTAATCTGGAGAATTATTTTGTTTTACACATAAACACAATGTCCCTGTGTGCTTTATTGGTGGACCAAAGGTATTTCTGATCATATTAACTTCTTTGAAGATGTAGTTAAACCTGTAGAATGTCTTACAGCTGCACAAGAATATGTACTTTAATTCCTGTTTGTTTCTGGTTTTCCCTCCACCTAAGGACCCCAAGATGTATGTGCAGACAGTTCTGGATGTTCATAAAAAGTACAATGCCCTAGTGATGTCAGCATTCAACAATGACGCTGGCTTTGTGGCTGCACTTGATAAGGTGAGCATGTCACTGTGCTGCCTAATCAGTATGTATGAACAGGACACCTTTTCTCTAACTGTCTTTTATATAACACAGGCTTGCGGTCGCTTCATAAACAACAATGCAGTTACCAAAATGGCCCAGTCATCCAGTAAATCCCCGGAGCTGCTCGCTCGGTACTGTGACTCCTTGTTGAAGAAAAGGTACTGACTTGGTTTTGTGTTTTTCCTAGTACCCTGATTTAAACCTCAGTCTTTATACAAGGAATCAGTATTTGCGTAACATTTACCTGCCAGTAATGTATCACATCTGTTGAAACCTGCATCAGCCCCACCAGCTTTCTGAATAGCAGAAGACTGAATACTGCGGTCTGGCTCATGTGTTGCTCTACAAACTTTGCTTTTGACAGAGCTGCTGCATAGCACAGGCTAGCCTCAAAACTCCCACCAGTCCTCATGTGCACAACCTTCCACATACTGTATTTACAGAGTGTACCACCATGTCCAGCCATCTGTACTTTAAAGTTTGGTTTTCGTCTGGTCGTGTGTTGGTGCTGTGCATTCTTCCTTTTCAGTCACCTTCTATCTTCCCTGACACTTTCCTGATCTTCTTACGTGGGTTTAGAGATGGAGGAGGTATGGTCAGGAAGGCTTCCTCCTCTGTGGTATGTTCCCACTACTTGTCCAGGATGCCTTAGTCCCCTCAGCTTTCTCTCCCTGTCACAGTTTCTTTTGGTCCAAAAATGTTGAAAGTTTGCCTCAGTGCCCCACATGTTATATCACCAAATGCTATGCAAGGGACACAGATCCCAAACTGTACTGGTTCTGGGGTCAATGCATTAGATTTTTAAAAGCTAATTTTTGTAGCTAGAGTTTTTCTGCCTGGCCCACAGTCAGGACAAATCTCTCTCACCCGCCAGTCCCACAGCCGCTCAGACCCAACCAAGTAAACACAGAGACTTATATTGGTTACAAACTGTATGGCCGTGGCAGGCTTCTTGCTAACTGTTCTTATATCTTAAATTAATCCATTTCTATAAATCTATACCCTGCCACGTGGCTTGTGGCTTACCGGCATCTTCACATGCTGTTTGTCATGGTGGCGGCTGGCAGTGTCTCTCTGACTCAGCCTTCCACTTCCCAGAATTCTCCTCCTTGTCCCGCCTATACTTCCTCCTGCCTGACTACTGGCCAATCAGTGGTTTTTTTGTTTTGTTTTGTTTTTTTTTTTGGTTTTTCAAGACAGGGTTTCTCTGTGTAGCTTTGCGCCTTTCCTGGAACTCACTTGGTAGACCAGGCTGGCCTCGAACTCACAGAGATCCACCTGCCTCTGCCTCCCGAGTGCTGGGATTAAAGGCGTGCGCCACCACCGCCCGGCAGAACAATCAGTGTTTTATTTACTAACCAATCAGAGCAACACATTTGCCATACAGAACATCCCACAGCACTCTTAAGGCTAAGAGAACACCCACAAATGCCAAGTGTGAACAGTGACAGTCAGTCTCACTATCAGGGCCAGAGAGATGGCTCAGTTGTTCAGGACACTTGCTGCTCCTGCAGAGGACCTGGATTAATTTCTTGGTATCCACATTGGGCAGCTCACAAACACTTAGGATACTAGTTCCAAGGAATGTGATGCCCTCTTTTGTCCTCCGTAGGCTCCTGTGTGCATGTAGTGCTCATACAGACAGTCAGGCACACACATGTACACAAATTTTTTAAGTTAACAAGTCACCGTCATCGGTGACCAGAGAATAGGTGTGCAAACTATAGGCCATGTGGCATCCGCGGACCGTGGCGGCGTCTGCGGACCGTGGCGGTCGCTCAGCAGCAGCACACCTGACAGCTGGCTGTGCTGTCTGCTCGGTACGTGGTGGGCAAACAGGGAGTGAAGGTCACTTGCTCTCTCTGTTTTTAAAAATTATTACTTTTAAATAGCTGGGGTTGTAGCTTTGCCAGAAAGCCATCCTCCCAAAGCCAGTGGGACGTGAGCACTTGATTATCTTTCTGTGTTTGTCATGCTGGCCTGCTGCATTGTTTATCTCTTCTAGTCACATTATTCCAGTCAGGGCTTTAATTTTTGTGTTACATTTTATTTATTTGTTTATTTGGGGGCTATGCTTCATGGTGTGTCTGTGGAGGTCAGAGGACAACTTTGCCCAATCAGTTCTCTCCGCCTGCCATGTGAAACACTGGCACCAAACTCAAGTCATCAGGCTTGGTGACTAGCGCCTTCACTCAGCCATCTTGCTGGTTTGGAAAAAGGAGTTTACCCTTGGTGTCTCTTAAGACTTGATGCTGCTTCTCGGGCCGTTGTAGGTGATTAAGTGACTTAAATACAGAGCTACTCCACGAGGCCTTCAGTCTGTGTGACAGGACAAACAGTTGTGTGCCCATAATAGTCTACAACCAGTTAGTTCCGGCTATTACAACGGAATGGTGGAGACACTCCAGGTGCGCCTTTAACCAGCGTGTGTTGGTGAGCAGAGTCTAGTTGGCGTTGAGCAGTGAGGAGAGAGAAGCTACCTGACCTGCCAAGGCAGGCGGGGCCAGGCTCTCTGAGCCAGCTCTCTTAAACACTTTTTCATAGTGGATGGGGTGGTGCACGCCTATAATCCTGGCACTCAGGCTGAGGCAGGAGGATTTCCATGAGTTGGATGGTAGTATGGGATATCTCAAAACGAAAACAAATCATAACATGGTTTTAGAGATTGTTTGGTGACCAGCTCATTTTATGTTTGAGTTGAGTTGTTTTGTGGCTGTTGTTTTGGTTTTTTGAGATTATGATATAATTACCTTTTCCTCCTCCAAACCCCCTCCCATGTTACACCCCCCACCCACCGAATTTCAAATTCATGGCTTCTTTTCTTTAATTATTATTGTTGGTGGTGGTGGTGATGGTGGTGGTGTGTTCCTAAATACATAGATACAACCTGTTCAGTCTGTGTAATGAGTATGTAGATAACTCTAGGGCCGATCATTTGGTACTGGATAACCGACTGGTGTGCTCTTCCCGATCATTTGGTACTGGATAACCGACTGGTGTGCTCTTCCCGATCATTTGGTACTGGATAACCGACTGGTGTGCTCTTCCCGGGGGAAGACCGTTTCTCCCGCTCTCATCATTCCTTAGTTGTCTATAGTTCTTTGTCTAGGGTTGAGGCAAACCAGTTCATTTTACACAGGATCCTTCTACAAATATTTTTAAAAACCACCTTACCCTTAGTTCGCCTTTGCTTAATTATATCCATAGAATAAATTAATCAGTTGTTTTAAAGATATGACCACAGATAAAAGCACACTTCACCCATGGCTTGTACCTTTTCATTATCTTTAATTATTAGGCCATTAAACAGAAACTATGTGCTTTTTTTTATTTTTAAAAGTAAAAATATACAGATTGTAGAAAGGAATTGTAAGAATGAAGCTCATTCACTGATATTTAAATGGGCTATCTTAAAGGAAAACTATAATATAATTAACTTCTATTGATTTTCATCTTAGATATTGTGACTGTTTTATACTCTCTTCCATGATTGGGTACAGTGTGAAAGGAAAGTGACCTCCCCTTGCTCGTCAGCTGGTCTGACAACTCATCACCCAATACTTGAAAGCACATGTATCCCTGCCGGTGTGCCAGAGTGGTCTGTGTGCACCTCTGCTGGCCTCTTTATAAACATGCTGCTCTTTGACATTTCAGTTCCAAGAACCCGGAAGAAGCGGAACTGGAAGACACCCTCAATCAAGTGGTAAGGTGCTTCTTGGGCACGCCCATCGCCCATTGCCCTTTGCCCTTTGTAAGGCTGTTTACATGGGGTCTGAAATGTGCGAATGATTTTGAATTTATGGCTTTATTCCTAAAATTGAGTTGCTACTTTTGGCGTTGGTACTTTGCTTCCTTTTTTGTTTTATTTAATTTGTCAAAAATTGATGTATTTTATTATATGCATATGAGTATTTTGCCTACATATGTGTATGTATATGCACTACATGTATGCCTGGTGTCTGAGGGAATCAGAAGGGTGTTCTATCCCCCAGAACTGAAGTTACAGATGGTTGGGAGGCACCATGTGCTGGGAACAGATCTCAGGTCCTCTGTAAAAACAGCAAGTACTCTAATCCACTGAGCCATCCCTCCAGCCCTAGCTAGTACTTTGCTTCTTGCTAAGTCTAGTTTAACCAACTGGGATTTAAGGAATGGTTGGCAGTACTTATACACATTCTGGGGTGAATTTATGCTGTCTGTACAGGTTGGTACACAGGCCAACCCAAAACCAAGCAATCCTTGGCTCCTGGCGGTAGCCAGAGGGAGTCAGCTGTGAGTTTACTTCACTAATGTGTTTTCTCCCTGGCATTGCCAGATGGTGGTCTTCAAGTACATCGAGGACAAAGATGTGTTCCAGAAGTTCTATGCAAAGATGCTTGCCAAGAGACTGGTGCATCAGAACAGTGCTAGTGACGATGCCGAAGCAAGCATGATCTCCAAGTTGAAGGTGCTGTTCTTTTCCTGGAGAGCCGACTCCTAGGCTTTAGTGCTGTGGTTACTAGTCTCTGCTGTCAGCGGGCAGAGGAGTTTGCGTGTGAGCCCTGCTTCCCAGCCACGCCGATGCTTCCCTTCCTTCCAAACCCCGTCTCGGGGCCTTCTGGTCTGTGGAGCCCTTCTCGGCTGGGCTCTGCTCACCATTTCCTCATCCTCGCCTGCCTCCCACACACTCAACCTTTTGGGCTTTGAGTGGACACTTAGTGGCTTTCTTAGCTCAAGCTGTCAAAACACAATACCATGGACCAGGTAACTTAGGCAGAGAAATAAAGTCTCCATTCTGGGGACTGAGAAGTCTAAGATCCTGGTATTAGTTGTTGTTCCTGAAGAGGGCCCTCCTGGCTCACAGTCAACCACCGCACTTGGCAGAGTACTCAACAGGGAGCATCCTCTTAAAGAGGCACCAAGCCCATGATAAGAGCCCTACATGCAGGAACTCACAAAGGCCCATTTCCTAACACTTCCAGCCCAGAGGTTTAAGCTTCAGGCATATTCTGAAGGAGTCAGTTTGGTAGTAGGATTAGGGACAAACATTATTTGGGACCTGGAAGGGTGTGGTTTGAGGGGCGTTTGAGACAGCCTAGGCTAACCTCAAATGTGTGATCCTGTTGCCTCCACCTCCTCCTGAGTACTTTCACATGTGCGTCACTACAGCTGGTTCTAATCATTTCCTAGTTGTAATCTACCACAGCGGTAGAACACTTCGCTTTAAATGCTGCAGTATGCTTATTGCATATTGAAAACTTATTGTTCAGTTTTTAATGATCTTTTTATAACATACTAATTTTAATCAGTATATACTTATACCATAAGATATGACTAAGTGTTACTAGTAGTCGTTTCATACAACTAAAGATATATTGTACTCTGATTTCCCTAAAATTCCCTTATATGCATTGTATTATATGTTTGTATTTCTCTACAAATTAATGAGACAGTTGCCTGGGTTCATTTCAGCAAGCTTGTGGTTTTGAGTACACCTCCAAACTTCAACGAATGTTTCAAGACATTGGTGTAAGCAAAGACCTGAATGAACAGTTCAAAAAGCACCTAACGAATTCAGAACCCCTGGACTGTGAGTATTGAGTGCTCATAGAAGGACTTTTCGGGGCTCTTCATTGTGGATGAGACAAGTGTCAGAATATGGAGTGAGGGTGGTAGATGGTGTCGGCATTCCAAAGACTAAGTTTTCTCCCAAGTGGCTTCTCCTCCTGACTCCCAGGATGGTATGATGGCAGCCTTTGTCGGGACCAGATGATGCCAAGTCACGTATTCTGACTTGGGCTTTACTGATGTGTGGGCTTGTTTTGTCTTGTGTTCTTTTGACCTTAGTTTGGATACATTTCTGATTATCTTCTTCTCTTGTGTTTTTGATGAAAGTTGGAGAATCTTACTCTTCCCCTATCAGAACTTCTGTCACCATTAAGCTTAACTGTTTTGCTAGTAGACATCTAAGCTGTTGTCTGTGGAGATGAAATTGTCCTAATTCATAGGTTATCTATGTCTGTCTTCACAGTAGTAAGTGGTACATAAGCTGTGATGGAGGTAGTTGTTTGCTCCTGAGCTTTCCAGATCCTTATATTCGGGGCTGTTAAACCATTCCTGGTCACCACACACTGCCTGAGCAGGCTGAACTTCATATCCAAAAACAAAAAGGAAGAAAAAAAGAAATTGAACAAGGCAGACTAGCCTGGAACTCTGCATTGACAGTAAAGTAGGAAACTGTTGCCCCAGAGGAAAGCAGTTTCCTGTTCTTCAACCTTTAGTTTGAGTTTCTGATAGAGCATTTGGCTGTGTAGCCCACTAGCCTGGAACTTGTGGTCCTCCTGTGTCTGATGCTGGGATCATAAGTGTGCACCACCATGTTAGGCTTCCATTTTTTACTAATTTTAATTGGATAAGTTGAAACTCTTTATGCTAAAATCTTAATTTTATATTTAAGCAAGACTTTTAATGTAGTTTCTTTAATTTTGGCCGCTGCCTGTGTATAAACAATAGAATTTTCACATCTGTGAGTAATTCAGTGTGTCCCCTTCCCAGTGGACTTCAGCATCCAGGTCCTCAGTTCCGGGTCGTGGCCCTTCCAGCAGTCTTGCACGTTTGCCTTGCCGTCAGAGGTAAGAGTTGGGGCCTGGCTCTGTGGCTGGGGGCTGGGGGCGGCCTGGCCGTTAGTGTGCTGACCGCAGTGCTGTGCTAAGCAGTCAGCAGTGTTCCTGGAGAATGAGATGGGACTGGGGTGGAGAGCGGAAGGCTGGCCAGCCGTTGGCAGCAGTGTTGATTTACTTGATAAAGTGGAGAATCTCGTTGGTTGCATGGTGAGCTCTCTGGTACCTACTGGGCTTGAAGTAGAAACCTACTTCGGTTCTAGTGTCCAGTGCCTTCCAGTGCTCACCAGACAGTCGCCCCTGACATCTTGTCTCTGTAAGCACTGGTTTTGTTCTCAGCACTGGGGCAGGGAGCCATCTTTAGAAATGCTGACTGGAGAATGTAGAACCATGGATGCCACATAGCACTGTTCTTTGTCCAGTTGGAGCGCAGTTACCAGCGGTTCACAGCTTTCTACGCCAGCCGTCACAGTGGCAGAAAACTGACGTGGTTGTATCAACTGTCCAAAGGGGAACTAGTCACTAATTGCTTCAAAAACAGATATACTTTGCAGGTAAAATCATCTTTTTAAATTTGGGGGGTGGGGTTACTTTATTATGTAAATGTAATAGACTAAATGATGATTAGACAAATTCTAGAAATCCAGGTAGATAACTCATGCAGTGGAATAGAGTTCATCCTCTGACAGCACAGTGTAGGGGGTCAAGTATGTTCGTCATGTTCCCGTGAGCTGAACTCATATTCTTTTGCCGGGGGGCAAGTTACCTCCTTACTCTGAGCCTCGATTTCCTTCTCCGTTCTGAGTTAAGAGTGTCTTTGGTGGTGTTTGGCATGCCCTTTGCCTGACACACTTGGTGACAGATTGCAGAGCTGACATTTCGCCTGTCAGCTTCTAGTCACAGCTGTCTGCAGCCTCACACTGGTAAGACCCTTTAGTGTGCAGTGCTGAGTACCCATAGCTATGGGACTGGTTGCACTTGTAGATGAGGAGGCCGGGCTCCGCTTCACTGACACTCCACCATGGCTTGTATGTTGCAGGAGCCAAATTTTCTGTGAAGACCTTTTCTTTCAGTCTGAGTTCCTTGTACTTTAACTTCTGTACTTGGTGTGTTTCCCAGTAATGCTTATGTCATGCCATGATGGTCTCGGTTGGGAGCTGGTAACAATATATAAATTCCTTTTAGTGTTAAACATTAGAATGGCTGACTCAAACTACTCACTAGTTTAACTTTTCAACCCCTACACTGATGAGGTACTTAACACCAGGTAACCATTATACTTGGTCTGGAGGTCTCTGTCAACTTGAACACACATACATAATATATACATGGTGTGTACCAAAAAATCTTTTTTGTTCTATGCATAAAAATATAATTCGCGATTAATGTCTTACACCTGGTATGTATTTAAATAAGGGTGGAGATGCTTATATAGTTATCTTTGATAGAGGACACTTTTCAGGAAAAAACTGGAAGTCCTCTCAGTGTTTGGAAGGTGACGTTAAGGAAACTGTACATTACCCTGGCCATGTGACATTTTGTATTCTGTTTTGCATCTGTTTGAAGACTATTTTGTGAAAGTCGGTTGTACCTGGGAAGGCCTTTCTCCATGTTTCACATTTCTCTTTTCTCTGGGGGCCTTGAAGGCCTCCACATTCCAGATGGCGATCCTGCTTCAGTACAACACGGAAGATGCCTACACTGTGCAGCAGCTGACGGACAGCACTCAGATTAAGATGGTACTCCTGCCCTTCCACCTCCTCTGCTCAGGTCGCCATGGCTTTAGTCATAGGGTGTTGGGGAGAGAGGAGAGGACAAGTGTGACTTAACAGATGTTTGCTGCATGAAAAAAGAAAACAAAACTCCCCAAACAGTAAGCTTCATCTGACCACAGGGCACTAGAGACCAGGCCAGATCCACAGAGCCTCTTCATTGGGACCTCTGGACAGACCTTGGGTGCCAGCGAGACCAGTGACTACTCATGGTTTGTGTCAGGGAAGGTTATGTACCTGGCAGTGTTCATGGGACTCCAAAGTTAACCTGACTTATTTCACGCTAGTGTGAGGGACGTCCAGCACATTCTTGGGGTTGGTGGCACTAAGATCTGGCTTGTAAAAAACTCCATGTGCCACTGTAATGATTTTTCGACTATTTATAGTTTGGGAGGAAGTTTTTTGGAGAAAACAGATGGGTACTCAGTCAGATGTGGTGGCTAGCACTTGTGACAGTGGTAGCCAGTTCAGCCAAATCCCTACCAGCTTTTATGTGGGCATTGTAAGGACATTACGAAATGCTCTATTTTTAAACCCAATCAGTCAGTCAGTCAGTCACTCTGTCTGCCTCTCTGTGTGTATGTGTGTGTGTGTCTGTGTGTGAATCCCTTTCATTCATGTAACCAGTTCTTTAAGAGGACCTGAAATTCATCACCCTCCTCCCCAGCATCTCAGGCGCTAGAGGACAGGTGTCCACCACACCTGGCTCTCTCTCATTTTACCATCTCTTATCCTTTTTTCCAAGTAGATTTTTCTGAGATTAAATTTTGACTTATTTTTCTACTATTCTTCCTATTAGTTGTATTCTCCTGCAGTTCAAATAGCATGAAATTCCATGTAACCTAAAGCTGACCATTTAAGTGTTTAGTCAGTAAACAATTGTATATGGCCTCCACTACATCCAGTTCCAGAACATTTCCATCTCGAGAGGAGAACCCTAACCATTAGCAGTGACAACTCTGCCTTCCCACTTTGCCCTGTGTCCCTGACACCCATTAACCTCCGTGGACTCTTCTCTGGAAATGGCATACAAGTGGAATGAAGTTGTATGTGTCTTTCTGTGCTTGCCTTATTTCACTTAGTATATTCTGTCTGCAAGGTTTTGCAAGTGTCAGTACTTTATCCATTTGCATGTGTGCACATTTGTGTGGGTACACATGCACTGGTCTGCATGTGTGTTGGAGACTAGAAGCCAGGTGTCGCTGTTGAGCACTTCCCAGCCTATCTTTTTGAGGCAGCACCTGTCATTGACTCTGGAGCTTATTCATTCAGCTAGGCTACATGGCCAGTAAGCTTCAAGGACTCAGCTATCCCTGCAGCACCCCAGACAAGGCAAGCTTCCAAATGAGTGCTGGGGAGCAGATTTATCTTGAGGAAGCTGACTTTTATTTTTGTTGCTGCTTGGAAGGGCTGACAGGTCAAGCCCTCTGCCTCTCCGTGGTCTTCTCCTCAAGGCCACACCAGTCTTTCTACTCTTCTGTAATATTAGAAGTCCCTTATGGGACTTGAGCCGCCCTCCTTCAGGCCCCAACTCAGAGCTGCCACTTCTCTGACAAAGCTACCTACGTAGCCTCAGACCAGCATGGGTGCCATTATGAATAGGGCAGAACTTCTGCCTAGTGTTGGGTAAAGTCCAGGTGAGGTATAAGTGCCCATGAGGCTGATGGTGCTGGAATCACCAGAGCAGCTGCTGCCTACAGATGAGATATCCCAGACGCATTGAGTTCACTAAAGCCACTGAGCCCCAGCATGCTCATGAGTGCAGTGTAGCTTTGGTGCTTCATTTGCATGTTCTGGGGTAGTAGAACACTTGCCTGGCTTACACAGAGCCTTGGGTTTGATCCCCAGCACCACAGAAATTTCTTGTGAACCTTCAGATATTGAAGACGTGAGTAATTTCGTGTAGGTTTCATTGAAGAAGCAGGCACCTTGTGTCCAGTGTTCGTGGGAAACTGTTGTTGCCTTTGATTATTGAGTGCTCTAAGCCATAAAGAAGCTCTGAGGACAAGCCATGTCCCTTTCTCTGGGTGCCTTCTGCTTTGGGGTGGGCTGACTCTGGGACAGCCACTGGAAAGAAGTGTCTTCCTTCTTGCTCACCATTTTTCTCTCTAATTGCAGGACATTTTGGCACAAGTCCTACAGATTTTACTGAAGTCAAAGTTGCTGGTATGTCTGTGTACTTTGTGTTAAGCTAAAAGAAAGCCTTTCCCTGGGATGTGCCTAGTAACAGCTATTTTCTTGTAGGTCTTGGAAGATGAAAATGCAAATGTTGATGAGGTGGAATTGAAGCCAGACACCCTAATAAAGTTATATCTTGGTTATAAAAAGTAAGAAAAATGGAATACACAGCTGTTGGTCTTATCCCCAAGCCAGGGGAACTGGACTCAGAGGGCTTGGTGACTGCCCGCCTGCTGGTCCTCCATGTTGCTTTGTGTGATGTTATTTTGGTTTTCTCTTTATTTTGAAAATAAGTCTTCTTGAGTGACTCATATAGAATGTTTAGACCATTATGTCAGATTATTTTGGTGTTACTACACTTGACAAAAGTGAGGACTCAAATGTCACTTCAGTCACAGCCCTGTGGTAATTACATAGCATTGGCGGAGGGGCAAGTCCCAGGTGTCTGGTAGAAATGATGCAGAAGAGATGGGTGTAAACCACCTTCTACCCCGGGCCAGGGAAGCAAAACCTCCAGTGTTGAAAGAGAGGAAGTAGACTTTTCAGTGACCTGTTTCCTCTATTGTCTTGACAGTAAGAAATTAAGGGTTAACATCAACGTACCAATGAAAACTGAACAGAAGCAGGAGCAAGAAACCACACACAAAAATATAGAGGAAGACCGCAAACTACTGATTCAGGTGACTGAACCGAGTCTGCACTGCACACTCAGTGTTGTTCTCTCTCGTCTGTGCTGACTGGCAGGTGCTGCCGGAATGACACAGGCTCAGAGATGGCCAAAGATGACAACGCCTGACACCAGGACGTTGGTGTCTGAGCATGAAGTGTTCTGTGTACCCAGAGAAAATAGTCTTATCTTCTTGCCTAAATATTGGGGAACAGATGAATACCAGCAGATTGAGAGAAACAAGTGGAGTTGAGGGCAAGGGTGGGGAGCGTCTGTGGCCTCAGTGAGCGAGCTTTTCTTTATTCTGTAGTGCTTTATAGTTGGCCAAAACATGTTTTAAAGACTTAGGTTTATTCTAAATGCATGTTTTGTCTATATGTATATAAGGGCATGTGCATGACAGTGTCCCCAGAGGCCGGAAGAGGGTGGGATCTCCAGGAACTGGAGTTAGAGCATTGTGAGCTCCTCGCGGGGTGCTGGGAACCAAACCCAGGTTTTCTGAAAGAGCGGCCAGTGCTCTTAACCACTGAGCCATGCTCTAGCCCCTTGGCTGAAACATTGTAATGTTTGTTCTGTTAGGGTTGACACGTGGAGAGAGCTGATTGCCTGCACCCTCTGATCTGTAGGGTGCTTGTTACCCTGTGCATGGAAGTAGAGCTGAAGTGGCCTGTGTACAGGCTGCCTTGAACACTCCTGCCCAGCTGTTAAAGCTCTAAGCACATGTTTTTCCCTCTTGATTGCATAGGCAGCCATCGTGAGAATCATGAAAATGAGGAAGGTCCTGAAACACCAGCAGTTACTTGGTGAAGTCCTCACTCAGCTGTCTTCCAGGTTCAAACCTCGGGTCCCAGTGATCAAGGTACAGGAATTAGAGCAGTAGCTATCCTTCTCATGGTAGGAAAGACTCAGCAAAAGGGTTACTCACTGTTTGATGAAAACGGGAACTGGTTTACTCAACAAGAAACTTAAGCAAAGGACAGTCAGCCTATCTTCCTTCTTGAAACAATTATATAGAGAGGTGTGTATAAACCTTTGTAGTGGACACCCTGAGAAGGATTAAGTCATCCCATGTCCTCCCCTATGCCTACATTGCTGTGGCAGTTAGCTGTCCCAGCTCGTGAACCATAATGTAGCCTTGGCTGGTTTGGCTTGCTAGGAAGTAGTGGGCAGTGGGTGCTCTGATGTGCTGGTAAGAACCTGCCTGGCAGTATGAGGGGAGCACCCTGGGTTACACTGTTCACTCCTGCTGCTGTGCAGGGATTGTGTTGTACGAACATACTACCCTGTAACTAGGGTACTAATGATCTCATTTGCCTACTTTCTGCTGGCGATTCTTCCCCACCCATCCTATGCTTCGGACATTTGATGGCACAGAGCCTTGCCCAAGGCAGCCAGGCTTTATTAGAAAAGCAGATTGTGGCCTAGATATGCTGCAGCCCTTGCGCCTTCATGTCTAGAGCAGACTTGGGAGGTAGGGTACTCAGCCGCCTTAGCAGGCCTTCCTGAAGGACTGCACTCAGGAAAACTGAAGTTCCAGCTAAGCAGACAGGTGGATTTGCTCCTTGCTGAGCTCTCAGTGGAGTGTGACCTCGTGAAGGTGACAGACCTCTGGCCTGATGGTCATTTGTATTTCTTTTTCCCTTTCCCCCTCTTTCTCCTACAATAATGTCCAGAAATGCATTGATATTCTCATCGAGAAAGAATATTTGGAACGAGTTGATGGTGAGAAGGATACCTACAGTTACTTGGCCTAACCCTTCTAAAAGGGTCTGTGACCCACAGCATAGTCCACTGAATAGAATGGAAGCAGCTCACGTTCATAGCAGCCAGCCTGCCGCCATTTGGACCTCCCTTTTTAAAGCTGAGACCACAGTTCCCACCAGCTGGTCTCAGGCTACAGCCGGACTGCTCAGGACTGACACATTTCAGTCAGTAAACAGACGCCAATGCCATTTACCCTAACTTATGGACAGAGGGGAACCGAACCTTCCATGCTGAGGCTGCATGCTACTGCACTTAAATCAATACATTGGCCCCTGGTTAACAGCTGTCTTCTGAGGCAGCACTTGAGAGCGAGTCTGAATGGACCCATGTGTAATCTGCTATGAAAACCATTTGTATAGTGTGTTTCATTTTTTTAATGTGTGAAAATAAAGAAAATTAAAGGATTTCTGTACAAGTTGCATTTGGTTTTGTTTTAAGTTTTACCAATTTCTATATGTAAATAAAAGATTTAATGATTGTGCAAGTGTATATTCCCAGTGTCTTCCTGGAATCCAAAAGAGCTGCATTCTTTGGATTGAAGATTAAGATCTTAATTTTTAAGGCCCCTATTATTTTGGGCACTGACTTGTTTCTGAGACTTCCTCAGTGCCGTGACTCCAAGTTGCTGCTGCCGACGTGCAGGGACTAAATACTGAGACAGGTGCAGAAACTGGGCTGTGTTACCACTAGTAAGAGAAGACCTCGAGTACAGAAGTGGAACCAACATGGCAGGCCTGTGGCCTCCGCAGCACTGAGGTTGACTAGCGACAGGAGGTGGCATTTACTCGCTGGTTACAGTTCTAATCTGTAAAGAGTGAAGCATCTGAAGTATTGGTAACTCCCTAGGTCTGCAGGGAGGGTGCTCAGCCCTTCCCACTTGTCCCTCCTAGTGAAGCTCTCCCAAGGAGGCTGCCATATTCACCCAGGGTGTCCCTAGAAGGGCCCAGGCCAGGGTTCAAGGCTCTCATCCTCCTCAGATCCAGTCCAGCTCAGGAGCATCCTCAGACCTCCAAGGACTCTGCCACAAGGCATTGCATTGACCTTGGTCCCCAATCTCCATTTCCTGGCTGAAGGGCGAGAGGAATGCAGAGGATGGGACCTTCTGAGTCTTCATTGCCACTGTCACCTCTGGGTTTCATTCTTATGCTAAGGATGCCTTCAGGGTTCTCAGTCAGTAATGCTTAGCCACCCTTGACCCATTCCTATGCTAAATTCTAAGCAAGTAGCTCAGAATAGTAGTTCCCCTGTTTCATTTCTGGGGTGGAAGGCACAGCTGTAGTTATTGTTGGGCAGGTTTTGTACCACTGAGCCACATCGTTAGCCCTTCACTTTAAGATAGTGTCTCATTGGGTATCCCAGGCTGGCCTCAAACTCATGATCCTGCCTCTGCCTCCCTAGTGCTGGGGATTTCAGGCAAGCTCTGTCACACCCCATCACTCCATGCCTTTTAGTGTGTCTACTTATAAACAGTCTTCCTAAGACTCTCAGTATCTAAACCAGGTAAAAGCAATCGAACCAGCCACCTCACTGCCTTCCTGTACCCTAAAGGGCCCCAGAGCTCCAGACATGATTTGAAAACTCCCCTACTAATTTTAAAGTGAATGATGCTCACAGCTTGCTTATCCTTCTAACAGTTCATTTTTATGTCTTGAGACAAACACTGTAAACACCATGGGTCCATTTTAAGAATTTGTCTTGAGGGGTTGGGGATTTAGCTCAGTGGTAGAGTGCTTGCCTAGCAAGCACAAGGCTCTGGGTTCAGTCCTCAGCTCCAGAAAATTAAAAAAACAAAAAAGAATTTGTCTTGAGCCCAGGTGTGGTGGTGCAGGCCTTTACTCCCAGCACTCTGGAGGCAGAGGCAGGTGGATCTCTGAGTTTGAGGCCAGCCTGGGCTACAGAGTGAGTTCCAGAACAGTCAGGGCGGTTACACAGAGAAGCCCTGTAAGTCAAGGCAGTTTGGCTGGGATCTCTTCGGTTGTACCAGGATGAAATGTGCCTTTAAGTACCTGGAACTGGACTGTAGGCTGTGCTAGGGCGGGGCTTCACCTCACTTTAGATTGCTGACCTGGAACTGGACTGTAGGCTGTGCTAGGGCGGGGCTTCACCTCACTTTAGATTGCTGACCTGGAACTGGACTGTAGGCTGTGCTAGGGCGGGGCTTCACCTCACTTTAGATTGCTGACCTGGAACTGGACTGTAGGCTGTGCTAGGGCGGGGCTTCACCTCACTTTAGATTGCTGGTAAGTGAACAGTGGTGACTATAATGTGTCAACTTCCTGCTCTGCCGCCATTCTTCCCACCCTGTGGGCTCTTACTCTTCTACAACCATAAGTCCAAATAAGCTCTTTGTTCTAAGTCAACTTTTGATTGTGGTGTTTTATCACAGTAAGGGAAAAGGAACAGATAACATAATCTTTCTTTTGAGGCTATAGGGAGTAGACAGGCAGATCTCTAAATCTAAGGCCAGTCTGGTCTACATAGCAAATTTTAGGTCAGCCAAGGATATATATGAGACCCTGTCTAGAAAAAATAATAATAGTCTGTTAAGTCCCAAACTCCAAAAGGCAGTCCAAATATCCAGAAATGAGCTCAGCCTGAACTATAGGAGGGTTTCTGGCAATTAGACAAAAAGCCAGCATTCCTCAGGAACTTGTGAAACCAGTCCCCCTCTTCCAACATGAGTCATTTACCATCCGGTGGAAGGGACAGAGTTCACGGTGGCCTTGAGGCTCCCTCAGTATCACAAGGACCTGTTACACATTTCAGAGTCCACACTAGCATCCTAGTCCTTCTCACCTCCCCTACCCTAAACTCCCCCCAGCTATCCATTCTTAGACTCCTGCTGTTGTCTCTCCCTCTCCAGGGTCTCACTGTGTGTAGCCCTGGCTGGCCTGGAGTCAGAGGTCTGCCTGCTTCAGCCTCGTGTGCAACCTAGGACCCCAGCACCTATGCACACAAAGCAGATGTGGTCTCACTTGTACCTGTAATCCCAGTGCTGTGGGGGCCAGAGACCGAAGGGTCATCAGGACCACCCTTCCCGTGTGAACTGTAGGCTACGAGTAGATTCTCAGGAATGGGAATCGCTCTTCAGTTGTGTGACCTCCTACTGAGCTCAGAAGGACCTCGGCTCCAAACACAGTCAAAAAGATGGCCCAGGTTAATTGTGGTGGATCAAAAAACTGGAGGGCTAGACATGAATGAAGAGGAGATTTTTATGGGATGGGGAGTCAGAGTGAGGGTAAGGGCGGCCGGGATGCAAAACTGCTATTTAGGCTGGCTGAATAAAAAGCCAAGGTCTGCACCCTCCACACCCTTCTCCCCTACCACACATGAACCTCGTGGTCTAAAGAGCTGGGCTTTTAACTGAAACCAGCTGACAGGGCTGGGGGTAATGGCTTACTCTTACCTGAGACCACCAGGCAAGGGGTCACAGCATAGCAGGTCACTGCCTTTGAGGGAGCTTGAAGACCTGCTCCAGAAAAAGATGAGAACAGGCTACTGAACGAGCGGGATCCTGAAATCTAACCATCAAGCATCTTACAGTGTTCGTTCTTTACTGAACATCAGTGCTTGCTTTTCTTTTAGAAACATAGATTTGGGGTAAAAAAAAAAAAATCAAATAGGCCGACACAGCTGTCAGGGTAGCCGAGACTTTAGGGGTTCAGTTCATGCAGGTATCCAGACCAAATAACGCCTGTCTAACCAGGGGAGTGTGGAATTGTTTCTAACACTACCCACGTAGACCTCTATATATGGCCCTCACTGGAATCATTTATAACAAAGGGCAAAGTGTAAAAACAAGCTTTTTTTTTTAAATTAATTCCAGTCAGAATTAAGTAACAGAATGCTTAAGTTCTTTCAAAATGTTCACATCCAGACTGTCTTGATGACCTGTCAACAACTGTAATCACTTAATTTCCTTGTCTTCACAGCAGTGGTCAAATACTTGGGCGGAAATGGAGGTCAGACCTTCTAGTGGACATCTAAAAGTTAGAGATAGGTGATTTTCAGTACTGAAAAACAAGACAAGGAGTGCCTCTAGGTAAATAACTACTTTCTAACACAAACTATAAAGTCTCTTGAATTTGGCGAGCAATGACATGGTACTTTTCCCGGTCATCAGTCTGGATGGATGAGGTGTTACAGACTGGTTTACCCATGGGGCAGGCTTTGTGCCATACCCCTCCATACATGCCCTTCAAGCTGACTGGCTCTATCTGGAATTGAAGCTTATCAAATGGAGCCAGTGAGAGTTTTCAGTGGGTAAAGGCACTCACTGCCAGACCTGATGACCTGTTTGAGCTGAGGGACCCACAATGTGGAAGGAGAAAACTGACTCTTGTAAACATGCATGCACAGTGGCACACAGGTACAGGCACACACTAAATCAAGATTTAAAACCAAAAGAGTGCCTGTAAGTGGTCCTGGCACTTGGGAGGTAGTAGTGGCAGACTCGGGAGTTCAGTTATTCTCAGCTACATAGCAAGTTTCGAGCCAACCTGGACTATAACACAAGTTCTCCAAATCACTGCTCTACCAATATGACCTGTATCTGACACATCAGTAACTTCGATCTAAACGCTTCCTTCCAGCTGTTGATATCTGGAGATGAGAACCATGGCCAGGTGAGCTATGTCAGTAGATACCATTGATGCCACACACTCTGTGGGGTGTCCTGAACAGTCCCACATTATACTGAACATATGTGCTCTACTTGCCTGTTTGAACAAGGAAGGCTATTGGATTATCTTAAGAAATTGCGTAAAACAAAGTGTTCTCCACCTCAGCAGCTAACCATGGCTACCCATTTTGTCCGGGGCAATCCATGCAAGTGCCAAGTGGAGAACGAAGAGCAGCCATGGTCACTAAAACCCCTCCTGATTTATATCAATCAAAGATCCAAGTTGCTATGCCTTGTGAATTGATATGATCGGAAACTATCTTGGAAATTAACAAAGTGAGTTTTAGTATATAACGTAAAAGTGAGGGTTTTTTAAATACCTTTATAAATACAAATCATATCTAACTCTAGAAAATGTAACTTGGTATAAATTACAAACCCCTAGAGGACTGATTTTGAGCTGTTGTGAACATCTCCACACTGAAGCCGTAAGCATGCCTTGGAGGGTGCTGAGTAGTTACAGTACTGCTCTGTGACCAGCTGCCAAGGAAGTCCAGGTCCCCAGCTCAGTGGGGATTTGGAGGGGGCTGTTTTAAGCCCCTTAGAGATTTAAACTATAGTCAGCTTATTTATGTGTGTTTTCTCTTTTTCTGGGACCATTTCACCAGGCAGCCCAGGCTGGGTTTGGGTATCCCTAATTCACAACCTTCCAAGTACTGGAATAAATCATTACACTTGCCTGCCTACCAGCATCTTCAATTGTGTCTAAACTATAGAATTTAAGATGTATAGGTTCTTAGAAATAACCTAGTCCAACCGCAATCATTTTGCATATGGACAGCCGATTTGGAGGTTGATCCGCTTTCCC